TGTAACTTTTTGTACACTCGTGTATGCCCAAAACTATAGAATTCACGGATACTATGAAAGTGGTGAACATTTTTCAGAACGGAATGGACTGAGCCATACTAAAAATAATTATCCTTTCAGAGATAGTCATAAAGAAGCAACAGGCACGGATGTAAGCAAAGACATAGCGATACACACAATCGTTTCTAAGGAGGTCTTCACAGACCCCCTGTCGTTCCTGTGGACGTAGTACCTGCCGGCCGTAGCAACGGTAACATTTTCTTTGATTCGTGTAATGAAAAAAAGAACTATTTTACAAATTTTAAGAAAAGATACAGAATTATCATTAAGTCGGTTTTCACTAACATATGTACAAAATTATGATGAGAATGTATGTATATAAGAAAAAATCTGAATCATCATCAACACTGAGAGAAATCCTGTAAATCGTAGATTGCAGGTATCCTGATTCAGTAATCTCACTGATTCCGTACAACTTTATTTACACAAATCTTGCATCTTTACAAATTTATAAAAAAGTTCAAATAACTTTTGGGAGATCCATCATCAGAAATTCCAATAATTTAAGGAAGTTTCTATTACTTTATTTACCGTGAAATAATTCAGAGCTTTAGTCCAGTTATGAATACGAAAATCTAAAATCATGATGAAAATGATGGAATTTCAACCCTTTTTTTGGATGATGACAATACTTCCTCTACCCAATCAAATAATCAGAAATAATCCAGAGCTTTAGTCCAGATATGGATACGAAAATCTAAAATCATGATGAAAATGATAAAATTTCAACCTTTTTTTTTCTTGGCCGATGACAATACTTCCCCTACCCGAGAGGGAAGCAAGAAAGTAAGAAATCACCCTCTCCTTGATTAAATGCAGGAATTTTTCCTAAAATTTGCCTGGCTAAAACCGACAATATGCATCCAGTTGATAATAATTTAAAACGTTCCCATGCGATAAGACGGTAAAAAAAATAAACTAATCGGAGTCCAATCTGGCAACATTACGTGCGACTGGTTCTGGTTCATTGTTGACCAGAGGAGACCTGGTGACTCCATTTGCATCGGTCACTTCTAGCATGGGGCCGGTCCCCGGTTCTAGTAGCGTCCCAGAGCACCCGCGCGGTCGTAGTTACAGTCATATAATGCGCTTCTTGCCCCCCCCCCCCCCCCCCCCCCNCAGCCCCCTCCTCTTCAGATGCTGTCAATAAGCTTCTCATAATACCTTCCTGATCAGAAACCGCACGGCTTCCATGAGAAATCCAACGCAGAGACGTGGTTTTCGCTCGGTGGTTAAGCTTGGCTTCGCGATCAACACAGATGTTTTGATCGGGACGCGATGTTTCTCGTTTGCGCGACCTCTACCGCCGAAGATTCTCGCGAATCGGTTGCACTGGGTTTCGCCCATTCAAATGCACGTAAAACAATCGATATTATCGAGGGAGCAAATCTCGCCCAGAATCGATTATTTACCATGAATTTAAATAGAGTTGAGCGTTGCTGCGTTCTACGATCGGTTTCCGTCGGAGATGCGCTCCGATGGAGAACTGCTCCTTCGCATTTTATGGTGTTTTTGTAATTTCGATGCAAATGGAGTTTCTGTAAGAGTCGGGGATTTCAGATTTCTATAAACGAATCTCGAGTAAAACGCGGGGACACGATAATGCCGCTGATTTTCTTTGAAACCGGAGACGGTGGCGATTCTTACAGTTGCCGTTCATACAGGGCGTCACTAAATGCGTATCCTCGTCGCAATTTATGAAAGTATGGGGAATTTAAGTTAGTTTTTAGTTTTACAGTGCTTTTAAATTAAGTTTTTTTCTATATAAAAAAATCCTTGAATTTTCTATGAATGTTATTGGGTGAAGAAGAGAAATTAAGGAAAATTCTAAGAAAAACTGTTTTCCGTCCTCATTTAAAATAGTGAAACACAAGCGGAGACTCACAGCGTCGCTATACATTTTTTTTTGTGTGGAAAAATCGATTTTTTCACACAAGTTTGTTTGTTTGTCCCCCTCCCCGCCTCCGTGGTGAACTCGTTTTGTTCACGATAGTTTAAATTGAAGGAAAGGAGAAGAAAATGTTGCCTTTTTTCAAGAGTCTCCATTGATTAGAAAACGTAGTGGGAGAAATAGTCAGAAGCTCTAAGGAACACCCAACAACAAACAGGTGCGAAGTCGACACTAACGCCTTTATGCAACTTCTCTAGCTCGGTGATTGTGCTAATTGCATACGCAAAAAATTGTAGGCGCGCTAGGTTTAGTGCATCCTCGATAGCCTGCATCACATGATTCACATGCATCAAAATTTGTTTACATCGACCCTAAGAGCCCCGTGAGTTGCTTAAAACTAGTACACAATCAGTTTTCAATTTTCTTCCTGCAACGTACCCTGTTCACCTTCACTGATTTCAGCTTTTATCAGAAAACGAAGGCTCCTTCAGGGTACTTACTCACTCCCCAGTTTTAGATCAAACTTGGTCATAAAACATGGAAATTGTGTGTCACTTTTGCAGGCTAGTCATCGTGAGAACCTAAACTACTGAAGAGTACTCTGCCGTGATAAGGAAGAACGCCGTATGACCATTTTGGCGTTGCCAAATTTCCTTCAATAAAATCCGGATTTCCTGGAAAACTTGCGTATATTTTTCTCCCAACTTTTCACGGAATTTTATTCGCAACTTAATCTACAGGATCTGAAAATTCAAGGGAAAAATATCCATGACTCTCTTCAAAAAGTAACAATTTATTGGAGGAAATTTGGCAACTCTCGAATGTTCATACGGCGTTTTCCCTTAGCACGGCAGTATTTAAGAATCAACTATCAGAAAGCATCACAAACGCGACAACAGCATCATTCTCCCTTCATAGGTACCCTCCCTCATGCTGCATAGATTCATAGAGTATTGGTGGGCAAATGTTGCAACTGAGGCCCATTCACGCGCAGTCGATAGTCATTTCCTACGGCTCGAACCTCATAATCATCGTTTCTGGGCTCAAACATGACGGAACGCATCGATCGTCCACTGCCCAGCCACGGTTTGGGCTCGACGTTGTCAAATCTCACGACTAAATCGTTCGGGAATAAACGGGGTCGGTGCACTTATCGCGGGATTTGACAACGCTGCCCGAGCTTCGTATTGTGCGCGTTATGACACGCTGCATTCTAGTGAACTTTCCTCCATATTCAAAACGATTTAATTAAACACCCCGGCCCTCGTGATTCTCCTGGTTTCGACATGACTGTTTGTGCATCCATTTAAAAATGGGAAAAAAGTGCTAGTTTGCGGGGAGACTAAGAATTAATTGTGATTGTCCACGAAAAGGGAACCTTAGTCCAAAGAGATTTAAAATCGAGCCTATATGTTACCGAAACAAAGAGATACGTTCTAAAAAAGTTTGTGTACAAAAAAACAGAGAGAGAGAGAAAAAAAAGAGAAAGAGAGAGAAAAGAGGGGAAGAGAAAAGCGAGAGAGAGAAAAAAAAGAGAGAAAAAAAAGAGGGGAAAAAAGAGAGAGAAAAAAAAGAGAAAGAGAGAAAAAAAGAGTGTTTTAATGGTCTTCATTAAGGTCTCAACTTTGGGAGCTTTCTTTGAGCTTTGGAGTTGATTTCAGAAAAAAAATCAGTGGCACCATTGCGTTCCTCGCGAAATTTTACACATGGATCAATGCTTAAATCGCAAATTCCTGACACACGCAAGAGCTCCATACTCCAGGAAATTTGCGATTTACCGGAGGCAACTTGGCAAAGTTCGAAAGTTTACAAGCCGTCCTTCCTAGGATCGGAGGGGTGGTATTTGATGTTTTGATAATGAGGCTATTTCGGCGGCTGCCTCCGAAAGAGAGTAACAACTAATCTGCCGTGCTAAGGAAAAACGCCGTATGAGCCTTCAGGCGTTGCCAAAATTTCTTCGATAAAACACGGATTCCCAGGTAAACTTATGAATATTTTCCTTCCAACTTTTCAGGGAATATTCTTTGTATTTTGATCTAAAGTTCCTGAAAATTTCAAGGAAAAATATTCATAATTTCCCTTAAAAATAACCACTTTATCGAAGGAAATATGGCAACTCTCCAATGTTCATACGGCGTTTTTCCTCAGCACGGCAGTAATGTTCTTCAGAGGATGATTCTTGGCGGAGCTTAGTGGTTGCTGTACGCGCAAAAATGCGCTCGTACCTAAAACACGTGCTCGACGCAAGCGGAATATTAATCGCAAATAATAAATTCGGTACTGCTCTGCGTGCTTTGCATGAGAGAGGAATTCATTCTTCATGGTGAACCGAGGAGTGATAGAACCCACGTGTTTCAGACAGAATTACGATAGGTTAACCGTAACCTTCTCTTGTGAAAGATTTAACTTTTAAACAAGACAAAAAAAAGTTTTTAAATAAAACTGCACTGTCGTGCGAGGGAAGAGCGTCATATGAACGTATTTTTGAAGGAAGCACCGGAATAATCAATACTCCGATTTCCCGGAACTAGTACCCAATTCCGGAACTGTTGAGATTTTCCTGAATTTTCCCGGAACTTTTGAAGTTCCACGCGTAGAGTACATAGAGTCATAATGCAAGTGGGAGAGCTGGCGCCACTTTTAAGCATTTTCTAGGTCCCGAATTCCGAGATTCCTGTGCGACGCCGGGTCCCTTTTTCGATACCCAATCGATTGTTTGCGATACACGGGGACCCGGCCATATTCCACACCGCCATTTTGGATCGAATATGTATCGAAAAAGTGACCTCTCGCACCAGGCTCGGAACTCGTCGAGCAGAACATGGCGCCAGCTCTCCCACTTACATTACGACTCTATGCACTCTATGGTTCCACGAAATGTTTCAGATCTTTTGCATTTTCCGGAACTTTTGAAAAAAATTTAAAAGAATTCCGGAAATTTTGATGGTCATGCGGCGGAAGAAATTGGAACAAAACGGTTTCGAATCTCAGGACTTTTGACGGACATGGAATGGGAACACTGGGAAAGATGATTCGGAAGATATCTTACCTTGCATCCTTCGCAGGAGGTTACTCCGTAGTGGTAGCCTGAGGCTTTGTCGCCGCAAACTTTGCAAGGTACAAATGACTTGGTGGGTGTCGAGCTGTTCGAATCTGCAGCTACATAGTGTTGCTCTGAAACACAGATAAATGCAGTTTCCTTTAGTTATTAGGTTAAGTTGAGACGAGAACCGACTAAAAATTATCACTGGATCCACCGTTCCAACACAAATCGTCGTTTCCTACACGAATGAACGGAACTCCATTCCGAGGTTGCAAAATTAACTCAAACGATTCGATATTTTACAAGAATGATGTACATGTGCCATTTCCGTCAACAATTCTTCTGACTTTTGAATGAGATCTCTGGAAAAATCAGAGATATTTCCAGTCAGATATGCCCAAGATTCTCTTGGTAAAAATGAACTTGGTAATTAGAAATTTTGGCAACATAAAATATAGTTACGTTCTTTCGTTAAGGAGGCGACGAAGTAATAAAGTAACGGACGTGCAATAAATATTCTTAAGACAATTACCTCATAATTTTTTTTTTTTTTTCACCTCATAAGACCAGGACCTTCCGATGACCCAAAATTATTCTCCAAAATATTTTAACGGAACGAATATTTGGACTGCGTTTAGCAGAAAGGAACCAAGCCACATCAGCTACTGCCAAATTCGACTAGACAATTTAATTTCTTACGAGAGAGCATTTGTGCGGATTTTTTCGAAAATTTTCAGGAATTTCCTTCGTACTTTGCAGAAAATTCAATGAAATTGCACAAAAATCCGTACGACCGTTTGCATGTAAAAACTTAAATTGCCTAATTTTTAACAATAGCTGATGTGGCTTGGTTCCTTTCCGTTTAACGCGACATCCATTTTATCTTTATATTCCACCCCTTGAGAATTTCCAGAGGGAACCTCATAGCCTTTTCTTTCCCGCTCATAATAAATCTCTCACTACAACACTTTAAAAAAAAAAATTGGGTCAATAGGCGAAGCGCACCAATAAAAGCGCAAAGCTCTCTGCAATTATTTAAAAATGAGTTAGATTACGCCTGTTTTTGACGTTCGTAACACGGCGGCGAAAAATGCGAACGTTAAACCGTTCGGGCAAGAGTATCCTATCCGCAATATGTAATTTGCCTGCATCGTGCGCTGCCAGCGATCATAAAACAAAGTCGGTTATCGACACGACGGCGCACAATGGATCGAATCAACAGGAGAAGTCGGACAAAATGTTGAAACTTTAAAAGCTTATAAGTCCGTTTATACATAATTTTGAGGTTCCAACAATGGTTCCATTGGTTTTCTCGTTAAATTTTCTTCTAGAATCAACCCTAAAAGTTTAAAATATAACGAATTTAACATCAAAATTTGCAGTTTTAGTCAAAAGTTTCACGTCCGATTTCTCCGATTGATTCGATCCACTGTGCGACATGTCGTCGCGATGAATGTCTACTGTGATAATTTCATTTGCCCGCGGAGTGGAAAACCTGTTAAGGCAATTACCGCCCAAGCGATAGCTTTTTTACAACAAAGGGAGCCGAGACGGGGAGCGACGGGGGATGAAAAAAAGGGGGGTGGGTAAACTTGGGGCAGGGAAAACGGAGGAAATCAGGGGAATGTCTGCTAGCCTCAGAGAGCACGTGGGGCTGTATTGATTACGCTCGAATTTGGGTCGTCCATACCTCTATAGAAATCCCGGTTTACGGACAGTGCTTCTATTATCGCCGGGCCATTTCGCGCTTTTTATTTTCTTCCCGGGATGGGATGAGGAGTCCGAGACTTTATTTGTCCTTTTGTATCTTTAGACGGTTCGCTAAAGTGGATTCTTGACTTTGCATTCTGAAGACGGTCCACTGATAAAAAAAGTTCTGTCGTATGAACTAGCAGTTTAAAGGTATGAGTTCAAAAAAGGTACTTTTGAGAAAAATTTGGATTAAGTGTTGATTCCAGAGCAGAAACTTGCGGACAGTTTTACATCCTTTATTGTTACAAAAATTAATTAATCTATTTGCATATAAATGACTCATGTGGAAAGTTTGCCTTCGTAAACCAAGAACCTTTTTCGCTTGGACGGTCATAAATTTGAAAAATAAAAAACTCGGGTTCTTGAGAGAAATCCTTCTTCTCTTATTTTATCTCCTGTTTCTCTTTTCGTGAAAATATACACGGCAAGAGTCTGAATAAATCTAGAGAGCTTCTCTTAAGCGTGAGATCTCACTTTTCCGCATGAAATTAAACTGTCGGTTACAATCAAGAGTCTGCACGAGCTTAAAGTAGAGCTTTGTATTCGAAACAAAAGGAGCTCATTTCCGCAAAAAAGCAGTTGTGTATACATAATTTACGTGGAGTCACTTCGTCTCTTGGATGCCAATTTTCTTTCAGAATGCAGCACCTCGATTTAAAATGGCTCCGTTCTCTATTTTCAACTTCCAACACTTTAGTGGACGACTCAAAGCTGAAGCCGACAGAAGTATGGATTCCTAGTCAAACTAATTGAACGTTAATGGTGTTCGAAATACTAATTGACTCTCCGGAGCAATTAGTTAGTGTTCCGGAGAGAAATATTTTCTCTTAGGAACGATAAGTTATTACTTATAAGTTATCACTTATCGTTCCGCACGGTTCGTTTCAGAGGGAGGTAAATAAAATAGTGTTGCCCACTCAAAATTCCTTCGGGATCTTGAAGTAGGATGCATACACAGTCATTTAAGCCTAAAATGAAAATATTCTGTCGAGCTCTTCGAAAATAAAATCGATTTTCGTGTTTTTGGCGCTAAAATGGCCTTCAAAAACGATCAATGATTCAATTCCGATGGGTTGTGCATATGCAAAATGGTATATGTATGATGAAATCTACGTATTTTTGGACCAGGAATCTATTGAGCAGGGTCCCGAATCGGTTCGAAGCTTCATTGACCGAAAAATGGGCCTTTTTTGGGATTTTAGGGATATTTTGGGCCCATTTTCCCCCAATTTTGGCGTGAGAAAACCTGTGCCGTCATGGGTATTGATTATTAGGTACTTTCGGGCGAGAAATCGAATGCGCTTGGTCCCGAGTCACTCCGGGGCTTCTTAGGCCGAAAAATTTTTCTCGGCTCGGTTGGGTTAAGATTATTTGTTTGACCGAAAAAGGAGGGAAAATAGTTATTCTGCATATAAATATTACAAATCCACAAGAGGAGTTCATTTTTCGAGTCCAAATTTATACCGTCTCTTCATAAAGCGCATACGATTTCTCGTCAGAAGGTCTTTGAAAAAGAGAAATTGATGTGTATGTGTGTGAACCCGTCAATCAGTGAAGATCAGCATGCGTGCGCACTGATATCATTCTTCACAGCGCATGATTAGATCTGAGATATGCATCGTGCTTTCATGCAGGAGCTTACACAGTGGACTGGCTGAAGGAGGCCAAAGGTCATCAAATTATAGAAAAGTTTCTTGTTACTTATTCAGGAGTCTCATTTTAAAGTCAAAGAAAGGCCAATTTCAGCATCCAGTTTGAACATAAAAGACAAAAAATATTTTCAAAGCTCTTCCGGAGCTCCACCTGGGCCTACAGCGTATTCTTGGATTAGGAAGCCCCGGAGTGACTCGGGACCAAGCGCATTCGATTTCTCGCCCGAAAGTACCTAATAATCAATACCCATGACGGCACAGGTTTTCTCACGCCAAAATTGGGGGAAAATGGGCCCAAAATATCCCTAAAATCCCAAAAAAGGCCCATTTTTCGGTCAATGAAGCTTCGAACCGATTCGGGACCCTGCTCAATAGATTCCTGGTCCAAAAATACGTAGATTTCATCATACATATACCATTTTGCATATGCACAACCCATCGGAATTGAATCATTGATCGTTTTTGAAGGCCATTTTAGCGCCAAAAACACGAAAATCGATTTTATTTTCGAAGAGCTCGACAGAATATTTTCATTTTAGGCTTAAATGACTGTGTATGCATCCTACTTCAAGATCCCGAAGGAATTTTGAGTGGGCAACACTATTTTATTAACCTCCCTCTGAAACGAACCGTGTCCGGAGAGAAAATATCTGTCTACTTGTTTGGTTATAAAATGGACAATCTTTGAGAGTTCGCAAAAATTAAGGGAAACAATGTATTCTTTCTAGTCTCCCCTTGTGCCCATGTGGAAAGAAAAGTGGAATTGACTGTGATTTTATCATGAAAAAACAATTTTAAAATAACTTTCTTCAGTGTAAAGTAGGTTAGTTACGGTGATAAACTCAGGATATTGAATATTCTCCGGAAGAACTGTCTTTAAAACATGATTTTTTTTTTTTTAAACGATGGGCAAATTTTTTTTTCAGTCCACTTTAAGAAAAATGTTTCAATAAATAATTTCTGGAAAGGAGTTCCTTCTAAATCAACTGGAATTCCGTTCGAAAAAATTTAGGATACCGCTTCACTCTCAACTCATCTTGAAAATTGTATCGAAAAATGTATTTTTTGAAATTATTCCGCGAAAATTATACAATAGAAGTTCCTTCGGATTTTATCGGAAATTTTCCTCCAGATAAGACGGACCGCAGAACGAATTGAATGGCTGGAATTCGTTAAATTTGCTGCCGCAGAGGAACATGTTAAGCTCCTATCTAAAAAATGCCGATGAGCGATTGGAGTCAGGATCATCACTCTCGTTTGGGGAAAGATCACTGAACCCAAAAGACACGCAAATGATGCTGCCAAATTATTCGGTTAAATACGCGCATTTTATCAATCCTACAGGAGGCATGCAAATCTTTTAAAATTTAGCAACGGTTTGAAGGTGTTCAGCACTCCAGAGCTCGAGGGTTGTGTGTTAAGCATCAGCTTTGCATTTGATTTTTGGGTGATAGGATGAGTGTGCCACATTTATTTTAAACCATAAAACATGCTGTAAAATTTCGTTGTCGTGACACCGCTCCGCTTGATACGTAAATTAGGTGTTAATTTTTGGTAGAATTTCTAATTCAGGGAACAGAATGAGGAAATCAACAAGACAACGACAATTAAAGCCAATATTAGACATTTTTTATTATTTTCAAAAATTTGCCAAAATTAGACATTTGTTATTATTTTCAATGATTTGCCTTTTATTGGGCACGGTTATAATATTAGAAAATGATAAT